GGAAAAACAATGGCGGGAAAAAGCACCACTGACGACATTCCGAAGCCATCAGGGGCTGGGAAGGCATGAGCCGATCTTTAGCCACGCGGCCAGCCGCAAGGGGTATTTTTTGTCAGGTCGATCATCGCCAGCGCAAACTCAGGCTGGAGGGCTGGAGGCAGCCTGCGTTGCTCTCAGTTGCTGGACGTAATTTCGACAATGGTCCTGCACCATGCAGAGCCTCAGGTCGATGTCCACAGGCTACGGCACCACAGATTGGCAGTTGCATGGGGCCCAGGTGGCGGCGCGGGGCAAGCGTCGCAGGGACTTGACGGTACCTGCCGGAGCCGCTGCCCGCGTGCGGCGCCGGAGGTACTAATCACGTCACTCTGCTAGCACCACCGTTTCGTTTCAGACACGGGCTAAGTTCCGTTCTGGCTGTGCTTTTCCAATTTTCGTGTCGTGCCTGCAGAAAAAAAAAAGATGCATCGCTGTCCAGATCTCGATTTGCTTCTCAACAAAGATCAGGTCAAGATGAAAATCGTTTGGCGTTCAGGGACTCGTGGGTCTATTGGCTGGTTGCGACCCGAATGATTGGAAGTCCAACTGAGAAGTGGGTTCGTTCTATTCTAGGCGTCGTCAGTCTGGGCAAACAAAGATGGCCATGGTCACCCAGATGGACGCAAACCAGGAAATAGAGGAGCAATAGAGGGGCCCTAACGGCCCAGAAATTGGTGTTTAATTTCTCGCAACCGTGTCGTGAAACTTTGCGCTGGGGGGAACGGCGGGCGGAGTGTCATCCGTGCTCCCAGGAAGCAGAAGGACTGTCAGCCGGCAGCGGGGCGCCCCAGCTGGTCATGCTCACCTCACCGGGGGGTCGTTAAAACGAGCCCATCACCAGGGAGGCACAAACGACCCATCTGGAGCGTTGAACCTGCAACGGTGCATCCCACGGACACGTAGATCACCCTCGGACTCCAACTTCCACCACCGCGGCACCAGCCACGCTCTTCCCGCACGCCACTGCACACAGCTACGATTGTCAATTCCATACGAATACCATACCTTCGACGTCTTGAAGCTCTCGCCTCCGACTACGTTTTGCAGACGCTGCATTGGTGCACCCCCTCGATTCGGCAATCCCCATGGCCAGATAGCTCCGCGCCCGAACACACTATCGACAAACATCTTCCCGCCGCTACTGCGCTGTCTAGACACCACTACAACGGACGCCGGCGGGCTAGTCCGCTCGTAATAGCCATGTCTGCAACCGACGAGGCCGTCGCCCAAGAGACCAAGGGCCCGAAGCAGGACGTAAAGCCGTCGTCGGCCGATACTTCGGACAGGGAAAATGTTGGTCTCCCCCATGGCCGCGTCTGGGTCGCACTGCAGCGAGGGCCTAATTAACTGACAACCGCGCCCGTTGCACAGGACACATTCGAGGACGCCGTCGACACCGCTCCGGCGCGGCCACTCACCGAGCGCAAGCCCTCGCTCAACCGCCCAAAGCCTGGCACTCCGCCGCCCGCAGCCGACCTCGAAGATGACGTCTCGCCCACCACTGAGGCCCCCGAAACATTGACCCCCGAGAAGAAGAAAAAACCACAGCGCATATCCCAAACCTCGGTGGCCGAGCTCGACGACGTGAAGCTGGATGACGAGCAGCCCTCGCCTCCTCCTGTCCCAGGCAAGTGGCCCGATATTCACATACCTGCGTTTGTCTGCAGAAAGTGAAGTGAATTGCTGACTGGAGTCTAGATAAGAGCCCTGTTGAGAAGGAAACGTCCAAAACCAGATCTTTTAGCAGCATAACTAGCGCGTTACCAGCAATGCCTTGGTCACCTCCCCCGCAGATCGGCTCGCCTACGAAGCTTGCGCCGGCGGCCGTTGCCCCGGCACCACCCGCGCCGGCACCGTTGGGCCGGAAACTTACCAGTCCTTTCTCGTGGCTCTCGAGAAGTGCCTCTAAAGATCACACTCCCCCACCCCTGCCGCTTGTCTCTCCCAGAAGAAACACTGCCAGCTCAGTCGCGACCATGACCAGCAACCCGGAGATGATGCTCGGCAAATTAGAGGAGGAGAAGGAGGGCAACGGTGTGCATGGGTCCCGAGGAAACCTGAAGGAGCGCTTCAAGCTTTTACGCATGAGGGAGGAGGCGGGGATCACGATTGCGGAAGGCGACGAGACCGCTGCCCCCATTGGCACGCCGGTGATTTTGCGCGGCAGCACTAGCGAGGACAAGGAGACAGGCCTTGGGATCCAGCCTCCTGCGTCCCCCCTTCCGGCGAGTCCCAACCCAGCGCTTGCCCCTGGCACAGCTTCGGGTGTCACCGCTGGTCCGTCAGCCATGTCGGACGTTCCTGTCGACTGGGATCTCTGGCAGGCCGTGGTCTACGAGGGCCCTGCAGCAGTCGCCCGAACAAGCCCGGACGAGCTCAACAAGGCCATCGCGACCGGAATTCCGAACGCCATACGAGGTGTTGTGTGGCAAGTTCTGGCCCAGAGCAAAAACGAAGAGCTGGAAGTTGTCTACCGGGAACTTGTGGCAAGAGGAACCGATAAGGAGAAGAACAGGCAAAGCAATGGGACGTCGATTAGTGGTACCCTGAGCACCAAGGAGTCGAATTCATCTGCGTCCTCTGTCCACTCGGAACATTCGGGCCCCAACGCGAACGGTGCGCCATCCCCTACAGAAAGGGACACGGAATCCATCATTCGGGCACAGGCCATCGCAGCTGTGGAGCGGAAGAAGAAGGACAAGGAGGATATGGCGATGCTACAAAAGCTTGAGAAGGTCATCCGTAGGGATCTGGGGGCTAGGACGAGCTACTCCAAGTTCGCCGCCGCACAGGGGCTTCAAGAGGGCCTCTTCGGCGTTTGCAAGGCGTATGCTCTGTTTGACGAAGGTGTGGGCTATGCCCAGGGCATGAACTTCCTGGTTATGCCCATTCTCTTCAACGTAAGTCCCTTGTCCCTAAAATGCAGATCACAACTGACAACGAGCAGATGCCCGAAGAAGAAGCGTTCTGTCTTCTTGTACGATTAATGAACCAGTATCACCTCCGCGATCTTTTTATCCAGGATATGCCCGGACTGCACATGCATTTATACCAATTTGAGAGGCTCCTTGAGGACCTCGAGCCCGCCCTTTATTGTCACCTCCATCGACGCGGTATCTCGCCACACCTCTATGCCACGCAGTGGTTTCTCACTCTCTTCGCCTACCGATTTCCGCTTCAGCTCGTGCTCCGAATTTACGACCTGATCCTTTCCGAGGGTCTCTCGGCCATTATCAAGTTTGGCATTGTCTTGATGCAGAAGAACGCGGCCGCGCTCCTCGCCATGTCAGACATGGCACAGCTCACCACTTTCCTGAAAGACCGACTATTTGACGCCTACATCGACGCCTCACCCTCGTCGAACTCGATCCTTGAAAACGGCTTCTTTGGCAGCAGCTCGAGCAGCATCGACAAGGAGGTTTACCGCGCTGACCAGCTCGTCCGGGATGCGTGCGAAGTCAAGATCACCCCGGAACTTCTCAAGGCGTACGCAGCAGAGTGGGAAGAGAAGACACGGGCCGAGAAGGAGCGTGAGGCCGAGCTTGACCATCTCCGTACCTCCAATGCCAGCTACGCCATCAAGGTGCGGCGCTTGGAAGAGCGGATTGAGGCTGTTGACCGCGAGCAGGCAACGTTGGCAACTGAGCTGGTCCATACAAAAGTCGAGAATGAAGAGCTCAAGGATGAGAATGAAAGTCTCAGGGGCCAGGTCCAAGAGCTGCGGATCGTTATTGAGAAGCAGCCAGCTGAGATCGAGACCGCGTGGCAACTAGAACGCGACGATTTGATGAAGCGGAATGCCAATGTCCACGAGGAGAATCAGAAGTTGGAGAAGGAGTTGTCTGAGCTGGAAGAGGAGCTGGTGCAGACAAAGATGCGTTACGCTGAGGTGAGTGATTCCACGCCCCCATTGGTATTCCAACGTTCTAACATGCCCTTGCAGATTAACGCATCGCACGAGACGCTCCAGCGCAGATGGACTGAGTTGAAACGGCAGTTTGACTGATGGGTCTGGCTGCCGCTGCTTGCTTGCGTGCTTGCTACCAAGAAAGAATATGACGTTCTCTTTTATTTGCTATGTCATTACGCAGGCCGTGCCACCGCATCATGTAAACGGCGTTTAAGAAAGTGTGCGAGAGGATTGATACTATTTTAGAGGGAAATGCAACTTGGTGACGTGCATCATGGGGGGAGCCTTAGTTGGAATGGCAGGGAAAAGCTATAATGACAGCAAAAGAAATGCGTTCATCTGCACATGTACTTGTCTTCTTCTGTCTGCAGTGTTTTTGTTGTTTTGGTTTTAGGGCCGGTCTGACGAGGAGGTACGATATGGTGCGCTGTGGAAGCACTCTGGGAGTGGTATGGTATGATGGGGGGGATATTGAGGACGATCAGAAGGGGAGAGAGGTGTGTAAGGGGGGGGGTTGTGTTTAGGGGGTTTCTTGTACAAAAGTTCCCATGGAATAACAAGCACATGTGAGTGTGTCATTGAAGCTATCGTCATTGACTTGAGGGTTGGCCTTTGTGTTGTCTCTTTTTTTTGGAGCCCAATCCTGCACTTTTCAAAAAATATCACTGACCTCAAAGGAGGCCATCACCCCAACATCTGATGCTGAATACCAACTTCAGGGGCCCCTTTGCTTGTCCCTGCCGCGAAGTTGACCCCGTTCCCTCCACAGGTTGACACATCTAGTCTGCACTCACAGGTTGACACATCTAGTCTGCACTCACAGGTTGACACATCTAGTCTGCACTCACAGGTTGACACATCTAGTCTGCACTCACAGGTTGACACATCTAGTCTGCACTGCATTTTCAACCCCAAAGAAGGCCATCAACACCGCGAGCACCAGGGTTAGGGTTCCCTTGCTCCCCCTTTCCCACCACACAGCCGAACCAACCAACATCCCTGCCAGTCACCCCCTCCATGAGGGGCTTTACAGCGTCGGCAAATCATCAAAGCGGGTTTAGCTCAGTTGGGAGAGCGTCAGACTGAAGAATTACTTCATTCTCATCAACAGCGTTGATATCTGAAGGTCATGTGTTCGATCCACATAAACCGCAAGCCTTTACTTTTGCCGATCTTGACGATTGCATCTGGTGATAGTTGTCCACGGGCGCAATTGAGTTTTGAGGTTGGAGGGAGAAGGTGTGCGTCGGGGCGCGTTTTGCAGGGCTATGATGAGGTTATGTGTTCGATCCGCGGAGACCGCATCGGTTTTTTTCTTTTCCAGTTTTGCTTTCCACCCTCTTGATGTTCTTGGTTTTTTTTTTTTTTTGGAGGATCGATGGGTTGATGGGGGGATGGAGGGACGGAGAAGGAACTGGATGATGTGACAGACTGAAATCCCATAATTTTTGAACGGAATCCATTCCTCTTGTCGTGTGCTGCTTGCTTGCTGGTCTATTCCATGTCAACCGGACCGAAGCTAGTAAGGGAGGGACCTGTTTGATGGGAGGAAGAGGGACGGAACCAACCGATGATGGATGTTGATGCTAATGCAATGAGGGTGGCAACTATATTCTTTCTACATGCAGATTGGTGGGAGAGGCTGACTGAAAGTCGGTGATTGCTGCCGTGGATATCTGCCTCATCCTCTCAGTTTATCTTGTACAAATTCATGCTCCCTTGCTTGGTTATGAAGGGGAAGCCTGAGACTCTCAAGGCTGCTGGCTGGGAGAAACTTCAAGGCAGGTCTGGCAAGATTGTTAGGTCTGTGCAAATGGAAACTTATCGCAGAGCCAATGACTTGGCAGATATGGCATATTGACGAGACCATTCCGGGCATTAAATGAAGAGCAGGCAAATCACTTGCACCAACAACAAATTTCACTTGTGACTTGGATGTATTCTGCGTGGCTCAGACGGCTGTGTTGCTTATGGTATTGTCATTTTTCCTTCGCCTTAAACCCATGCCCCCAGCCTGTTACCGGTGATGAACTGGAAAACGAAATGCAGTGGCCGCACTCTCTTTATTCCCAGGGCCAAATGCTCACTGAGATGGGCAGCAAGCCAAAATAGACCATCAACACCCTGGCCAAAAGCCAATGCGAACCCTGTGCACAACCCAGCCGTCAAGACACCTAACCCAAACCCATCCTCTACTTGTGGAGCTTGCGCTGGTAGAAAGCGAGCTCCTCACCCTCGAGGATGTAGCCGTCGCAGCGGCCGGACTGGCCGGGACGGCTGGAGACGACAGCGAAGAGACGACCAGCCTCGAACTGCTTCTCGAGGACGCCCTCAACCTTGCCGCTGGCCTTGAAGCGAGCCTCCTGCTTCTTCTCGACGCTGTTGCTCTTCTTGACCTCCTCAACGGCCTGACCCTGCTTCACCTGGCGACGACGGCCAAGGGGCTGGCCGTAGTGGGCCTCATACCACTGACGGAAAGGAGCGGCATCGATCTGGACAACGGCCGACTTGGTAAGGGTGTTGGTGCGGACGAGCTCGTTGTTGGAGGGGTGGTCTACGCAACCGTGTTAGCAACGCTCAATTCCATCCACCGCATATATATCAGAATTATATCAGAATCCAACTCACAGGCGACGACGATGACACGGGTCTTGCGGGTGATGCCCTCGGAGGCCCACGCGAAGTTGCCAGAGTCGAGACGAAGGGCACGGTACTTGTGGTTACCACCGCGGGTGCGAACGGTGTGGATGCGCTTGGCACCGATACGGGTGTTCGCAGGCTGGCGGCCCGCCTCGAAGGCTCTCTTCTTCCCTGCCGCGCTGTCAGAAAAATCGTATCTTTCCAAAGCGTGTGTACAGGCTCAGAACGCATGGGTTCGGCCGCCCTGCCCGCCGAAGCAAGACAGGACGCCTTCCAAGCGGACCTTCGAGTGTTATATTCAGTGCGGGAGGAGGGACATACGGTAGTAACTGCAGAGAACACACAAGTTAGCATTCGAGGTCTGCAAGAGGCCGTCAAGGGCAGAATGGGAGAAGGAGAGGGAAAACTTGCGCTCGCTTGGCACCGGTGTGCGAGCGCTTGTGCCGAGAGTCTCTGGAGATACCCATTTTGTCGGTATCTGCGGATTGAGCGTGTTAATTGCTGCCCGAGGCGATCGCGATGGTAGTTGTCGGCTGCTCACCTCGTTGGTCGTGGGTTGACTTGTCGGGCTGGTCGGTTGTGGGATTCGCAGATTCCAAGCGCACACCTTTTTTTGGGAAATGTGGGCGAAATTTCTCGGTCTTAGGTTCAGCCGTGCCGGTGGGGTCTTTTTTCTTCGCAGAGCTTTGTAAGGGCCGAAGTGGGGCGACCATTCAGCCAATGAACCCCACTTGCTCCATCACTTCTCATCCAAGTTCGAGACTCTGGGCTCTGGACTTGCGCTTGAATGCGACGCTCGCAGGATCACAGAATATTGTCATAGAGCTCTTTCGAACTTATCGCTAGCCCTGAGAACTGAATATTAGAGGCGATGAATTCGAGGGCTTGATAGCTGAAATCGGGTGCGCAGCATGTGGGCAAAGCACGAGTGAAAAAGTCCTCCAGCTCAGCCCAGTGAGGCGGACACTGCGACCTTGCATTCAGATCAAATATCTTCTCGGGAAGGGCAGGCCACGAAGTGGGATGCCTCTAAACACGTATCACCTTGGCAAACAATTGAGAAGTAGAAAACGATTGGCGCCCACACCAACGCACTGGGTGAATTGTAGGAACCTAGAGAAGGGAACGCAAACGACAAACACGCTGAACAACATCGCATCGCCCCTTCATATCACGAACATCCAAATTATGGTAAACTCGCTATTCGCCTTGCGCCATCTAAAGTAGTATCTGATCTGCTAAATTGTCATCTCGGAGAGCACTCGCAAGAGAGTGACCTGCACTTCACTCCCCGACTCGAACCTTCCAAGAATGACTAGCAAAAGCTAAAGCCCATATACAAATACAACAAAGTCCCAACTCGCACCGCTGTCCTCCTCCAATGACAAGTTTGGGAATGCATAAAACCCTGATGCGCGGCAACTCCAGTGACAGGCTGAGCAGTTTATGCCCTCCTTCCCTGCCGTGTTGTAAATTCCTAAGAGGTCCGTACCTCCCATGCAATGCGATGCCACCGTCCCTAACGTTCCTGTATCTGCACAACTACCAGCCTCATCTATGCGAATCCGAAATACTCGCTGCCCTGCGTGATAGCCTTGTGAACTTGGGTTCGGAGCATGTCGTAACTCTCATACTCGGGAAGGTCAAGCTCTGTCATGTCTGTCAGAATCTGCTGTGATGCATCTCACGTGAAGGGAACTGGTACTTACGGTTAAAGCAAGTGTGAGAGCTAGGAAGCCTCTTCTTATCGTTGTAGTCGCGGTGGATGTTGAACCTGCTGATGCCATTCATGCCCTCCAGCTCCTTGAAGCCGTTGAGCGGCACCTTCGAGGTTCCCGTGACGAATTGGAGAAGCTTGGCCCGCTCTTCCTTGTCAAAGGAACGAACCGCGCGCCAGAACCACTGGATTTGTTGCGAAGCCGCAGTGTAGTTGTGGTATTCCGTGTTGCTCTTCCAGTCATCGACATCGATGTCCGGCAGGCCAGAAATCAGTAACTCCAATTCTTGCTCATTGAAGATGGCGATGAGCTCCTCGGGGATAATCTCATGGAAGCCTGGTATTAAATGTTAGTCACATTCGCCCCAAACAAGACAGAAGGCGTCAGACTTGCCCTTCAAGAAGTGCTCCATCTGTTCCTTGACCGAGGACAGAAGCTTGTGCTCCACGATCATGCGCACATATTCGTGCTTGTTCTCCTCGGTGACTTGGATGTTGCGGCCGTTCTCGCAAAGGTCCACGACCTTGGTCACACCAAACTCATCATCCTCAACCGAGAATGTCTCCGTGATGATATCTGTGATGTCGTTCTCAAGCATCCAGACAAGAGATTTGTAGTAGTCTGGGTCGAAGGACTCCATGTCCTTTACGGACACTGCCTTACCCAGGATGCGCTTGTAAACTGCACGGCTGAAGTAACAGTCCAGCAGTCTGCCCTCGTAGAGGGCCTTGCCAATGATCCGTCCAATGAACTTGAAGAAGCTCAAATGCTCGTCGTTGATAGCGCTGAGCTTGTTGGGGTGGAACGTTGTGCGGTCCGACGAGACGGGGATAAAGAGGGCGTAGTTGGGGTCGAACATTTGCCGGGCAAGCACCTGGAACCACTCGCGCGTCACGCCACCGGCATCGACGCCCTCCTCGCCGTGGAAGCGGATGTTAAGCTTCCCGAACTTCATCTCGGCGCCAGATTTGAAGAAGAGAGCCTTGAAGGAGTCGTGGAACACATGCTCACGGCGGACCTGCAGCTGCAGAGATGGGTACGTATTGCGCGTGCCCTGGTTGCCCGCCTTAGAGTGAACGCTGCGGTTGAAATAGTTGCGCTTGTTGTCAAACTCCAAGACCTTCGGGTTCTTGACAAGGAGCGAAAATGTTCCCGACATGAGCTTGGGGTTGTTACGGACCAATTCGTTGAGAATTCTTCGGTGCTCCTCGGTAAAGGTGAAGAACAAGCCCGCGATGCGGTTCTCGGGAGGTGGGCTTGAAAGCAACATCTCCTTCGAAACCGTCTGGGAGAGAGGGGCATCGTTCAGCGTGGTGTTCTTGCACACGACCATCAGAGACTCGATGAGCGGCAAGAGGATGGTCGCCACGTTCAGCATATTCTCGCGCTGTTGTATCGCGCTCAGGCATGCGCTCAACTTCTCCCACATCATGCCGAATGTCTCGTTCCAGTACAGGAACCCGAGGAGATCCTCCTTCGTGTTCTCCTTTGCATCGCTGTCGCTGGAATCCGACTTGTTGTTCTTGCTGTCGAAGAGATGATCCAGCGCAGTGAGGACACGGAGGAGTTTGTTCTGTTCAGATGCACCAGGTGAGAACTTGGCCAGGGCAACACCCTGGATCACCGTGCCAGACTCTGCCTTCAGGATATGCGGCAAGAGATCATCTAGGTCCGAGAGAATATTCTTGCTCAGGACCTTAGCCTGTCGCACAAGCTCTTCACCGAAGACCTTCTTCGCACCAGGAATATTGGAGAGGTTCTTGATGGTCGAAATGGTGTTCTGGAAGGTCTTGGAG